TAAAGTGATAACATGGTTGGTTATGATAACATATTCATATATAGCTACTTACATTTAAGTTTCTTTTTGGTTGTAGAACTCAAAGTGAAGGATCAAAGGACAATCTACAATCATACGCTTGCCACCATATTGGTGGAATATGCTGCAACGGTCAGTTTTGGTTACATTCTGAATAAGTGAGTACTGAGTAGGGTAGAGGTCAGAAATCTTTTAATTGAAGGTTAATCGCTTACTTTTCTTCGATAATTATTGATGTGCTTAGATGGATATCGTGACGGCCAAAAGTAGACTTTACCAATAAACGTGGGATCAAATCCCAATTTTTCCAATTTGCTTCTGTGTAGTTTTAATTTCTATATTCCTTGAACTCTTCTTACTCGTTTTTGCTGCATTATATCCACTATTATGACTTTCTTGCTGGACTGCTGTCACCTAGATTTTTTGACAAAATTGACCTCTTTATTTGCAGGTCTATCACTCAGATTTGACAGAACTATTTACTTGGACATGTCCAAGATGTGATGATTTGACGAAGGTACTTTATTCAGATTGTAGTATAGATATTATTCAGGTTGAAGAGAAGCTTTTTTAAAATTTCATGCTGATTTTTCTTATATGATTAATTTGTCCAAGCCTTCAACCTGTGCAGGGGTTTCAAATTATAGAGCTCATTGTTGATGTGAAGCGATGTCTACAGGTGAATATCCAATAGTGAAAAAGCATGCCTTACTCTCAGTTAGAGGCACTAGTTTGGTTCTAATTATTGATATCCATTGCAGGCATTTGTGGGGGTGGCTCCAGATCTTAATGCCGTTGTAATTGCTTTCCGAGGCACTCAAGGAACCAGGTTTCATTCTATTGAGCCATACACATCATCCATGTGGTCCCATGTTTAATTTGACTGAATGGTGAATAAAAAATGTCTTATTTTGCAGATAAGAAGTCTGACTAGTTTATTTAGATGGATATCTTAAGCAATATATATGAGTCATCCTACATTACTCCAGCTCAAAACTGTTATCTTGAAAGGAAAAACTTTTGGGGGTCGTTTGGTTGGGGTGTTAGGAGATATAATTTGCTCATAAAAATCAGCAGTTGTTTATACAATCTTTGATTGGGATTTGAGGAGATTTAATCTCCACATAAGAATCAACATTAATTATAGTGTTTAGTTGCTCCTTTTTGTTTTCCTCATAAATAATCTTGTTATGCGGGAATCTGTGTATTATTTTATGTGGAGAGACTGGTAAGTTGACTATACCGTTCAGGTCTAAGTTGTGAAGTGTTGTTCAAGAGATTCTCTTTGATCGTGCTGTGTGATTATGCTTAAACGGCTATCCACTGGTCGATCTGCTCATGTAGAAAGTTGCATTGTGTCGTATGCATATTCAACATATTGATAGCTATGTTCACGTGCTAACTTTTTGGATACAGCATACAGAATTGGATTGAGGATCTATACTGGAAGCAGCTTGATATAGACTATCCTGGAACAGAAGATGCAATGGTGAGCGTACAACACTTAAACCTCTGCTGTTTCTGATTTGTGTATTAATCTTCTTTTCTGCAGGAAGATTATAGTCAGTTTTGCATCTTACAGGTGCATCATGGATTTTATTCTGCTTACCACAATACAACATTACGCCCTGGAGTGCTAAGTGCTGTTAAAACAGCAAAAGAGCTGTATGGAGACATTCCTATTATGGTGACAGGGCATTCAATGGGAGGGGCCATGGCTGCTTTTTGTGGATTGGATCTCACAGTATGTTTTAAAGACTTACTGCTACTTTATACTATAACTTCTCGTTGTCCATATATTTTGACTTGCTTTTCTAATTTGATAGCTCTGGTTATAGAATACCCTTGTAACCATTATTGCTTTTGCACTCCCTTAGGAATTATGACTTGAAACGATGTGTTTTCTCTGTTTTACTTTTTTTAATTGATCAATTGTAGATGTTTGTACTTTTAATTAGAAAAGGTAGAATTCCACATGTTGTTCGATGGATCTTGTGACATAAAAAAGAACCTATAAGAAAAGAAAAAACGGCTAGCAGAGTTCTATTGATTTATTTATGTATGTTTATTCCAGGTAAATCTTGGCTCGCGGAATGTTTCAGTTATGACATTTGGACAACCTCGAATTGGCAATGCTGCTTTTGTGTCCTACTATAGCAAACGGGTGCCAAATACGATTCGTGTCACACATGAACATGATATTGTGCCTCATCTGCCCCCGTACTATCAGTATTTCCCTCAAAAAACTTATCATCATTTTCCTACAGAGGTAACTGTTTTTACAAGCATAACTCAAATATTTTCTGCCTTATTTTGAATTGCATGAAATCTAGCTATATCATTTCAGTACCTGGAAAAGTTTTTAAGGAATGAGATATCTCTGTAGTGAAAGTCTTGAGTAAGTGATTTGGCTATTCATAAGTGGAAATATATTTTTTCAAGATAAGAGTGTAGCAAGCAGAAGAGTGTTGACTTGTACTTGAACTCTTGCTATCCGTTTAAAAATTATTATATATTTTTATACATTGTTGTCTGTTGCTCACAATTCCATTTTCTGCTCAAATAAATTGAAAGTAAGCTGTCATTGGTTTTGTAAGTTTCATCAATTTAATGGTTGTTGTCATAAATTAATTCTTGGTTTTTTTCTTTTAATTGGATTCACTGATATTGCAGGTTTGGCTCCATAACACTGGCCTTGGAATTCTTGCTTATACAGTTGAAAAGGTCTGTGATAATTCTGGGGAAGACCCTTCTTGTAGCAGGTAACTTCTCTCGGGCTTATACTTTATGAGACATCTGCAAATCGGTATATAGTAAAGATAGTTCATGCTGGTCAGATAAAAACAGAGGAGAAATGATTATAACGAGTTATTAAATATGGGCACACATTGCGTCATTGTCAAAATATGGATAACGTTTCTCGTTCTTCAGTCAAAACTTAAAAGCAGTGTTCTCAGCACACTCTTGTTGCTGAAATCTATTTACTTACTTTTGACAATCTTTTAAAAAAGGGGAGTGTTAAATCTGCAAAATTGTGAAGAATAAAAATGTAAAGTGTCTGTGAGCACAAAAATCTCACCTGGAACGAAAAAAGGGGACAGAAAGGATAAAAATGAAAACTAAGTTGTAAAAGAGTTGATACTTTGTCCTACTAAATTAGGAAAGAAAAGTGAAGGGTGTTTTTTCTATTTTGAACAATCACGATTGTAGGGAGCTTACTTGTTGTTTCTAAGTATAATAATTGTTTTACGTCTCTCGTTTTCAGATGGTTCTGAAGCTAATCCTTAAAAGGGATTACCTCATTCCTATTTTGTTTGACCTAACTGCTATATATTTGGTAGTCGACATTCTTCTTTCACCTTGACTTTTAATTACTCTTTATCGTTCTTTTATTCAATTGTTGGTGATTGGTGTAGTTTAATTTAGTTTATAAATCTATTACTTTCATATTTCAAAAATAATACACAACCTCCAATGGTAACACTGAATATTATTCTAGTCAACCCTCCTGAACAGAAATAGGTCTTATGATTCAGTTCGGAGATAGTAGTTCAAAAGGATGCTTAGAGAGAAGTTAATTATTTTCCAGTTCACTCTCTTTTTACCGAAGGATTATGATATCAATATGGATTTTGAATATCTAAAAGCCAGACGCTATAATACTATGTGAAAAATGTTCAGTTACCAAAGAAGAGGCTGGACGTCCTCTTTTTGATTGTCCTTTCTATAGTGGAAAACTTGCTGAATTTTGCTTAGAGCTGTTGCCCTGTATGCTAATTTTCTAAAATACTCCCAGGTCAGTGGCTGGTAACAGTATTAAGGATCATCTGAGATATTATGGTGTAAGATTAGGAGGTGAGGAGGATCCAGGATTCTGCAGAATTGTGATGGATCGTGGTCTTGCTGCACATGGCACAGTAGATGTTGATGGAAATGTCATCCTATCCAGAGATATTCCTGCTTCTGTTTTGAGGATGAATGTGGAATCTAATGAGCAAGGGAGATCGGTATAGAGGTTTCTTGGGATCTTTACTTGTCTTCCCCAAGATTGGAGAGAGGTGAGCAGAGTTTCGTCGTAAGGCTTAAATTGGAGCTGTACCCAGTCAATTGTGCAGTTTGGTCCTACGCTGGGTAGATCATATATATTATTCATTTTTATCTTATATGTACATATGACTCATGTAAATAACAATAAAAACTTCACTGTTGTAGATTGTAATGAACTAAGCTCAATTTAAGAGACGGAAACAATGCTCAAATCTGAACTCCAATCCATCACGCAATCCAGTGTTACACTAATGAGAACTGTTTAACTCAGAAATAGAAGTAACGAAATTACAATTGAAAGTATTTATTAATACAGTTCCATGTAACCAAAAGTAGAGTAGTCATAAACCTCGAACAACTCAATAAACCTACAGTTAATAGCAAGAGTTCCACTCTGCATCTAATCTGGCGAGAAATATCCTTGTATAAATTAGTTTATCATAAATTTGGAAAATTGCATGCTATAATTATTTAGTATGATAAAAAAATTCCTACGGTATTTATGCATGTGTTTGCCGAAGTTGGTTATTTTACTTCATATTTTGAGTTATATAATACTTATAATAGTCATCATATATATCTGCACCTATATTTATGTCAAACTAATAGTGCAGGACACAAAAAAATATTATTTAAATGTATGATAAAATAAATTGAATAGTTATTTTAATTTGTAACTGTTAAATGTTGAAATTGGTGCGCGTGCAAGCATTTTTCACTCGGGAAATGTCCAACTGTCAACCAACTACCATGGTCAATGGCTTTGCGTATCAAAACTGTTTGTGTAAATGCCCATAACAGCGTTATAACGATCTTTATTTTCCCACGAGTTCTGGTTTCACTATTTGCCAATTAACGGTGCTTGTCCTTTTGTCTCCCATACCCCGCGAGCCAATTAACTACCTTATCCTCTCCTCCCACCCCCTCCCACGCCTGCCTTTGGATATTTGCTTATTTCCATTTATGGTATTATTATAATTGGGTAGTCTCAATAATTATATTCCTGCATATAAAGGTCCTTGTCATTTAGGAGATGGCATTTTCACTTTGATTGAATCTTGGGTTTTGAGCCTATCCCTTTTTGTCACCTCTTAGACCCCTCCACCCCACCCCATCCCACCTATTCCTCTGTCAATTCTCCTTCAGCTAGATTAACATTTGGGGGGTGGTGGGTGTACTTAGTTTCACTGCAAATATGGAAGACTCCTGCAATGAACGGCTTGATTTTGGCAAAATGGGTTATGGGTACGAAAAACAAAATGTATATTTATTGCATGCTTAATGTGCATATATTTTAACAACATATTTATAAGCTGTAATATTTGTTTGTCTTAAAGTCGCATGGTATAATTGATGTTTTGTGGATATGTGATATAGATGCAAGCACTACAGGAGAAGATGCAGGATCAGGGCACCTTGCTGCAATGAAGTCTTTGACTGCCGCCATTGTCACAATGAAGCTACGGTAACTTTATTAAAGAATCCCTTTTGGAGTCTTAAAAACGGAGGCGGAGCCAGGATTTGAACCTTATGGGGTCGCGATTGTTATCATTTTAAGTTACTGGGTTCTAAATTAATAATTTGTACAAATTCAATAAATTTCTTAAGGCAATTACAGGGTTTGAACAAAACCCACTGGGTTCGGCGAACCCGCATGCCACACTCTGGCTCCGCCCCTGCTTAAAAATACTCACTGATGACGCTGTATTATCAATCTGATGATAGTTTGTCACATTTGCGCTGTGTTTATTTCATCAGAGCTCGTTGCACAATGTATTTGATCGACATGAATTAGTTCGATATGATGTCAAGCAGGTAATAATCACATAGTAGTAGTTGTTTTTCTTCCATTGTATTTGCCTCTTATTTTTTTTCTATATTAAGGTTTAGAAATTCTCACATGAGTTATGTGTTCATTTGGCACTTCAGGTCATTTGCTCAGTTTGTGATACAGAACAGCCGGTGCGTGTCTTTTGATTTGAATATAGTTTATTTCTTCTTATTTGGTGCTTTTTGAATTGATGATCTTATGTATTTCTGTTTCCAATTTAGGTTGCTCGCGTTTGTACAAATTGTGGTGTAAATATGGGAGAATACTTCTGTGAAGTGTGCAAATTCTATGATGATGATGTAATTATCCTGTGGTTCTACTGAACTAAATTCATTATTACCCCTAATCCTTATATTAGTTCAATGCCCATAGTTCTTTAGGATTTTGACATTTTTAGAAATTACCTTTTCGATGTACTTATTTCTATAACTCCATTGTTTCAGTTAGACAAAGGGCAGTTTCATTGTGATGATTGTGGAATCTGCAGGTCAGCATACAATACTACAATATAACTCCGTGCATTGGTAACTGTATCTGATACTAACACTTTGGTGTTTTGAAGTCTGCTAATTAGAATATTATCTTTTGCGCAGAGTTGGTGGCCGTGAGAACTTCTTTCACTGCAGTAGATGTGGTGCGCATTACAATTTCCTATTATTATAACTTGAGGCTCCATGGAAATTTTCTTCTCTGTTTTTCTTAAATTTGTTATATGTATGTTTCTTTGATTTTTCATCATTTGCTAAAGCGTGAAGCTATATGTGATTCTCTAACTACGGGGCTCCATTGGATCTTATCCTTTACACGGTTCTTCCATTCATTCCTAATTATTGACTTGTCCTGTGGGAATGAAGAAAGAATTACTAGTGGCTAAAATCATGGGGAAGTACAGTGATTAATTTATCTTTCGCTCAGGTCATCGTCTTAAGGACAACCATATTGGATACATATTACTCTATAACTGCTATTCATAGGTTCAGATTGTTCATCTAACGTTCAATCCAGTTTCTTTATTTGGGAGTGTGCTTGTACATTAGAAGCATGGAACTTTGTATTCTTTGCTTTATTGCATACGCTACTAGAAAATTATCACCGTAAATGTTTAGATTTTATTTACACACTTGATACTAGTTGAAACACGATTGCCACAAACATATTTTGTTTATATTTTCTTTCTGTCTTTTTCTCCCTTTCGAAGAGTGGAATATTGGAGTTTTGTCCCAGTATTTCCTAGAGTTGTCATTGTGAAACTCCATCTAAGTATGCTTTAATTGGTTGACTAAGCTCCATGAGATGTCACTGGTTAATTAGTTGGTTGGACAGTGCAAGCAGAGAAGATAAAGATGGAGAAAAGATTAAAGCTTTTCAAGTTTGTTTCTCTTGCAAGGAAATTGTCCAGCTAAACTCAAAACTTTTACTTTTCTTCCTTCTCTTTTTGGTATTCTCTCAACAATAGGCATTCGAATTATGGTGTCGCTTCTTCTATCTTTATCATTTCATTATTACAAATGCTATTGCTAATTCACCTTATGCTGTGCATTCTGCAGGCTCTTGCTATTCAGTTAGTTTACGTAATAACCATTCATGTGTAGAGAACTCCATGCGGCATCATTGTCCCATTTGTTATGAGGTATTGTATATTAAGTGTTATTCCTTTGCTGTGGATTCTACCGCCAATTCTTTTCATTCATGCTGCCATAATTTTTGAAATGCAGTATCTCTTTGATTCTCTCAAGGATACAACAGTACTGAAATGTGGGCATACGATGCACACTGAGTGCTATCACGAGATGATAAAGCGTGACAAGTAATCAGTTTATTTCATCTATTTATGCTGTTCGTTTAGTTCTCATTACATAAAAGGGAAAATTTTATGTTATCTGACTTTCATTCTATCTGGAACTTAGATGCTGCTGTCCCATATGTTCCAGATCAATCATAGATATGTCCAGAGCTTGGAGAAGAATGGACGAGGAGGTAGGTTCTTCGAGCTGGTGCATATTAAACTCTAGGAGGTCGGTCGAGTCCAATTTCCAGAGGATGCATATTATCATGTAAAAAAACCATGCTTAATGAAATGTGCATGGCTGATTACCTCTTTTAAATAAGTGCAAAAAGTTGTTATTTCTTAATGGTCAAACTTATATAGTAGGTAGAGCATTAGTTTTGCAATTATAACTGTATGAGGTTGATAGGAGTCCAATTTCTTGAGGATTCATGTCTTTTTTGAAGAAATTCTCTGCACACATGAAAGCTTAGCAAAGGTTAATTACTCTTCCTAGGCATATTTGAAAATTTTCTAGTTTCAGTTAACAAAGTTTGTGCTGGAACAAAATGGTGTTATTCTACTTGTATTTCCCAAGAACTTATGGTTATGGGGATGGTACTCATTTCCATAAATTTTTTCTTTGCTTATCAATTTATCTCATGAGACTCGTAGTTTCTTTGGTTGGTTTCTGTTGAATAAATGTTCTGTTCTTGTAATTCCTAACTCCCCCCTTCACACAAGAAAAGAAAAAGTAAAAAAAGAAAAAAGGAAAAGAGAAGAAGTTATCCTCAAAAGAAGTTATTTCTGGAGTACTCATGTCACCTTATTACATGCATTCATAATCAAGAGTCAAAGTCTTGAAAATATTATTACAGCAGTGTTAAGTTATATGACAGTAGATGATATTTCTTTTCCTGGGGAGTACTAATGCAACTTGAAAATAGTTTTATGTATAACTTAACAACAACAACGACGACAAACCCAGTGTGGTTCCACAGGAGGGATGTGTTATGTTTAACTTGTTTCCAAGAATCTCATACACCTAGAACTGATGCCTCAACTTCCAAATCTTCTCTTTCAGATTGAAGAGACAATCATGCCTGAAAATCTTAGATACAAGAAGGTACTTCTGCTTTTTTCTTAACCCCATATTTGTGGCCTTGAACTGTTTTGACAGTCTATTTCAGATGGCTCAACAGGGATGCAGTGTTTAAGGTTTTGCGGTGCCTTGATGCATCTTTTTAGCTTATATGAAGCTGAGATGATAAATGCGGACTTCTTATATTTGTATAAGAAATAATTGAAGTTCATGCTTTGGTCTTCTTTTACATGCTGAACTACCTTAGGTTTCAATTTTTGCCATCCTCGGCACATATTTGCTTGTTAACTATGCTGAATCCATCTAAACTGATTACTTTGCAGGTTTGGATCCTATGTAACGACTGTAATGATACAACCGAAGTATTCTTCCACATTATTGGGCAGAAATGTCGACACTGTGAATCATACAACACCCGTATGATTGCACCTCCCGTTCTTCCTCAATAACAATTTTCTAACTGGAAAAACTGAATGTTGTGCTGCTGGAACCTGGTGCCAACAGGTGAGAAACAAGAGCATGATGTATGGTCTGATCTTTCACCAAATTTGCCGCAACTCAATTGCTTGCATTATGCATTTGTAATCTAATTCATTCTCCAATGATGTGCAGTGGAAAACCCAAGCGATCTGATACTGGACTTATGTGTACATTATGTGTGCTTAATTGTTGTAGTGCTTGAAGGGAGTACATTTTATTGTTTTGAAAATCAAACTAAGTGCATTTTAGCACAATTGTGTTGAAATTGCCGAAATGGATGAAGGTATTACAATTCATGTAACCATTTGGAACCCCTATGAGGCTACGCCTGATATGACATACCTTAAATATTAATCACTGTAAATATGTACAAAGGAACTTTTTGGCTATATACATGCTATCTGGGTTCTGGCTCTTAATGATCTTGCATTACAGTCTTATTGATTATGTGTGCTAACAAGATGCATAAGATGTGAGAAAATGAAGAAATAGTCCCTTATATTTTGGGGGTAAGTTCAAACTGGTCCCATAAATATATATATATTTTTTGGCAATCCACTAGGCAAGCGCATATAGCTAGTTTTTTATTAATAAAAGAAAAGAAAATTACAACAATTAGGAAAAGTACAAATAAGAGGGACAATAGCACCGGTATTGTTACCCATATGGCTTGGCTATATAATCACTCCTCTGCGCCTCACACTGTCTTATGATGACAACCTCATGTAGAGGATTCATGGTGTAGTTGTCGGCAACGTCTCACGAGGGCATATAATCTACCCATAAATATATTCCTGCGCATTTGTCATCCTCTAAGCTTGTCAAGAATGAACACTTTTGGTTTCCATCAAATATTTAACAAATTCTGATTGTTAGATTAACGGGAATTATGAAAGATAGAGAGTAGCTGTATAGAGTATAGTACACACCCAAAAAAGTTCATGTAAAGCCATATATATCATTTTGCATTCATTTGTCCGAAGAATCCAAGAATACAATTTGGGAAATCCTCAAAGAACCTAACGCACAAAACACGACATTTAGTACCCATTTCATTCATTAAATAAATATTTACAAATACATACCCATATCCCTACATGTGGGAGTTCGCCGGGTTTGTTGTTGTAAATACATACACATATACAACATGTATACACACGCATATATAGTAGTGTCTAAATTTTTGGTTTCGTTCAATTTCAGTTCAACTTTATTTTATTTAATACCAAACCAAAATCAAATATTTTTTTTAATTTTTTATTACACAAAATCGAATCAATTTAAGGTACACACTAATTGAGTTAGTATTTTGTTAGGTTTGGTTTTTGACTTTTCTTGAATACCCTAGTGGCAATGTGGCACCAGCTCCTGAAACCAGATTACATCAAACCCTGCTGATTTTCAACAATCGCACCAAATCTCACAATGCGACATAAGTCTCAAGAATTTTTCTTTATTTAAATAAAGCATTTTAATAGTGATTGACAAGGACGTCGTTCTCCCCTCCAAGCAGTAAATTGCAGTCCAAGCAGTAAATTGCAGTAAAGGCTGCACATAGATGCCAATTCCATAATGTGCTATACATGCAATACTTGTCACAGATTGTAGCTAAATACAACAAAAAATGATCCTATAGTTTCAGTATGAATATGAAAGCATGGGAACAGATGCTGCATCAAGAAAGAATGTGAAAATGGCAGTCTGCGTTACTCCAGTCATTTAGAAGAGGTGATAGCCAATTATTCTGAAACTCCAAGGAATTGAGAAAAGCTTGGATATTTGGGCTCCCATCCTAGTTCAGCACGAGTTTTTGAGTTGTTTAACTTCTTCCCTAAAGGATCACTAGTTCCTGAAAGAAAAGACACATAACTGCTGAAGCATGACTCTTTAAGCAAACATGAGTACAGACTAAGGATAGAATCAGTTACCTGTGAAACCCTCAAACTTCTTATCAAACTTTCCACTTTTATCGACTAAGTCCATCACTTCCTGCCTGCAATGAACACAAGGTACGTAATACAACAATTTAGTGCAACATGGATCCGAATATTTTTATTACTTGACCCAAACATAGAAAGTATTCAAATTGGATGACCTCGATAAAGGGTGGTTGTCACAGCCCAAAAAGATCCGACCACGAAGTCTCTTCTTTAAGATGGTAACTGACAATGAAGCGGCATCCTGTTCGAATAGACAGACCAAAACATCAATATTGATATAATTATACAAGAAAACATGATGTAAAACATAAATGCATAGTCACCTCATAATGAATAAGATTGAGGATATGGTCAGGACGAATATCACAGATTCCTTTATGTAACCAGTATATATGTGCGCCTCTATCTGCTTTGTATTAATGGTTAAGGTAGGTGCAATTGTGCACAAACAATAAAGATCTAAAAGCTCCACAGAAAGGAATACACCACTTGAAGCCCATAATCAAGGATATATAAAGGCCAGCCAATCTAACTACACAACCATCAAAGTCCAGCGCTACTTTCTCTGCCTTGAGAAGTACATCAGTTCTAGGACTTCTCCCCATTGGAACTATGGGACCATCCTGTACATTGACATTGAAAAGGTGTTTAGCTAATAAAAAGAAGGCTGCTGGAATAACACATGACCAAGTCGTTTAAGTTAAAAACTTCATGAACTAAAATGCATCAGCTCTTAAGAACACTGTATCCTAATTTTGAATGCATAAATCCCACCTTGAGTTAATCAAAACGAAACTGTTACTTGAATAATGGTTTTATAAGATTTAACACCTCGTTTATTGCTCTGTTGTCGAAGCAGTCATATGGTGCAGAGCTGGAAGTAAATAGGAAAGAACCTTCGCCATTCCAGCTTAATGCAGCCTCCCTGCTCATTTCACACGCAAAAGAGAACTTAATTACAGGTGGCATTCAGACCAGTCACCTAAGCAAGCCTGAAGACAAAGCAAAAAGACTGGCAAGCAATAACGTGTAGAATATTAGTAATTCTCAGTACCATCTTAATACTGTCTATGAATTAAAGACTTCATACCATTGTCAAACACGAATATTAATAATTAATTTTCTGTTAAAAACACATCCCAACTAAGCAAATATTATAAGAAAAGCTAACAGGAGAACTCATATTGATGAAGAAAATATGTTCGAAAAAGATATTTATTACTACAAGCAGCATTATCTTTAAACTTTAGGAACACATAAAGAAATCATGCAGCACAACTTTTAACAACTAAGACTTAACCCAACTATTTGGTATAGGTCACCAACTAAAAATTTCCTTTAACAAAATCAGAAACTCAAACATATTTTTGCTTGTTAGTGCCCCACAAATTACAACAGTTTTTCCACTCTCCATCATGAAACATCCACAGAAACTATTCACCTTGATATCTTTTTTAACAAGAAAAATTTCTATATCAGCATGATTAATGAGCCCCAGAAAAGATGAAACTTGACATCAAATAATGCCATTATAGATAGTGACTTGCAAGAATTATTAATCTTAACTAAAACAAAAAATAAAAAAAACTTACCTAATGTCACCAACGTAATGCCATTTTAGATAGCGACTTGCACGAATTAATAACCTTACCTAATGTCACCAGCGTAGTCTTCAGTCTGGGATGGAGGAGCACAGAATATGACATAAGGGAACTTGTAAGTCAGCTTGGTTTCTTTGGAAGATGGATTAATTCCCATTTTAATCAGTTCATCATGGTGATCGGTGGTCATTGTCTGCCCATATATCTGACAGCCTGGGTGTTCCTGCCGCATTAAAGGATCTACAAATATTAGCATCTTATTCACGAAGCACACCTTATAAGCAGCACACAAATCCGTCAGTCTGTTACACTTATAAGCCAAAGCCTCATACTCCAAATAACAATCTAATTTCAGAAAACAAACAGCAAAAGTTTCCAAAACTAACCCAACTTAACAAAAAAGAAATGGACGGATATGCTCATGTAACTTTTGAATGGGCGTAGAAAGTTGGCATTGTAGGGACACAGAAAAGTCATGTTCTTTCTATTCAAAGAATCATACCTCTCTCCATTTTTCAGCAACTAAACGGCCAAGAACACCAGGTCCAACAATCAGCAGGTCGTTCGCTCCAATGTTCCCCCCAGACGGAGCCTCTAATTCTTCACTCGGAGCATCTTCAACAACAATAAATCAGTCAAAATGAATGATAATAGAGAAGATAAATTCATAAAAAGATGCATAATATCTTAGGAGTAAAGCATGAAACATTTTTGGTAAACATGCAGTCATCAGCATCTGAACAACCCCGTTCAATGGGAGACTTGAAACTGCCTACTTATTTGCCAGCAATAACATAAATTCCTCTAAACATAACTAAGTCAGGAAATACATAAACATTCAATACTGCATAGGACTCGACCTAATTAACACCTTTTAAATATCTGATTGCTAAGAAGAAATTTCCGTATAGCCCCGGTGATATGAGCAAGAGATAGAAGCAAATGTGCAAGTACATATGCAAATGAACTCTAATCGCAGTCGACTAAGAAAAGTAGAAAGCAAAAGCTAGTCCTTTTCAAATAAGCAACGGTTGATCAGCAAATTTGTCGTCCCAAAGCGGTAATTCGTAATCAGAATTATGTGGGGAGGTGATCACTTGTTATTCTGTGTCTCAGCTTGTGTGTTTCCGAATTCGAGATAGAGAGAGAGAGAGTACCAATGGCAGAGGAAGCGTTGACTTGAAGAAAATTGGCGGACATTGGAGGTGATGAATGCTTCCACTTGAGGAGAGCAAGATTAGGGATTGAGGAAAGTGAAGTTGAGAGCTTGGAAGGGAAGAAAGGGAGATTGGTAGTTTGAAGACGGACTCCAAATCCAGTTCTGGTAGTTGCGGTTACGGTGCCCATTGGATGGATAATTGAGTGATGGCTGTCTCTGTTATGAACTTCTTTTACTGGGCCGCTTTCAGTTGGGCCACACTCTATGGTCTCCAAAACCTTTTGAGCAAAAATCATTTATAGCCCTTCGATCAAAATTAATGACAACCGATAGCCATAAAATAAGGCATACAATTCATAGCCCCAAACCAATTATAAGAGCTAGCAAGTGAGACCCAGGAAATCAGTAGAGACCCTGGCTCCTCAATGCAACCTTCTTTTACACTTAATATTAGTAGTCAAAATATTTAAAATCCTGCAAAATCACCCCAAAAATCCTTCAAAACCTAGTGAAATCCACGTCAAATCCACCCTTTCAGCCCAAAAATTTCATTAAACCCATCCGTCTTCTCCATAACCTCCAAAATCCCCTTTTTATCTTTTACAAAAAAATTAAATTTTTAATGATCCAATCTAGAAAAATATGACATTGCATAAGAAAAAATACCCATGATATAAGAAGAGGAATAAGGTGATGTATAGGTTTTACACGTACT